ACCAATCTAAACCATATCTCTGTAACCCACCCTTCTTAGAAGCTTCAAATTTATATTTTTATTGATTTTACTTTCTATATAATTAGCCAATTTCAAAGCCTCATGTATATGGCTGGTTTTACTTACCTGCCTGTGGAATTTGTGTAGCACTAAACACTGTTGTGTTTACTTTTGTTGATTTTACTTTTACAACATACTTAGGTTTGGCAGAGTGCAGAATTATTACTTGAAGATTTTGTTCTAAGGAAACAGAAAACTTCACTTCTCATTATGAAGCAGCATAGTTGGATTACACAAACTCTGGACATGCCTCTTTTCTGACTGCTGCTAAAACTCTTTTCTCTATTAACTGAACCAATAATTGCATTCCTTGTTTGTGTACGGCAAGATTCACATGATGCAGAGGGTCTTCATTCAGATCTTCAGGTATAATAGGGAATTTCATTAGCTTTACAAAGGATAGCCCCATCTTAATAAATTTGCAAGCACAATTCAATCAACTTGTAGATTTATAGGCATATGTACCAATGACACAAAATTCAACAATTCAAAGTTGTAGAGTAGGACGTGTACATATAGAAAACACAAGCCCGCTGGGTATAAATCTATACATATCTACTTTTGGCACCTCACTGCTACATGCATTCCAAAATGAAACTCGGGTATTCATACCTGCTTTGGCTTCCTGTTTTACCCACATTTGAATATGGGCTATTTTCTATAAAATTGTTTTTCTTTAGCGAAAAGGCTAATTTCTCATACTTTCACTCAGCTCTCAAAAGTATTACCAGAATTAAAGGTTAACATAGTAACACACTGCAGCCTCATAAAATTCAGTTTAACAGGCCACTAGAAAAAAGATGTTCTGTAGTGGTTAAATATGCACACATCCACAGCCAGCAGAAAATCCTCCCATAATTTCAACTGCCAGTCTGTTTTCTTGATGGTCACTTCAGAGGTGTAGAGGCTTAGATAAAGCAATAGTCCAAATTGACCAAGAAGCAAATAAGAACAGCTGATGTACGCATGCTCACATAATATCATGGTTCATAAAACAAACTACCCAGGCTAAGATTTTTAATCATCTCCAAAGATATACCCAAGAGACAACCAAGTAACGGCACACTGTAAAGTCATGACTGTATTAATAAGAAATCAATGTTTATCTCTTCCCTCCTAGGATAATAGGTCTAAGAGACAACCACAATACCAAAAAATCCAAGAAACTGAGGTTCAAGAATAACACAAAGTTGTGTTCTTCTTTGGCAAGGGATAGATTTTCTCCAGCTGGCAGAGAGGTATTCGCAGTGTCTGTCGTTCATTTTCTGCCATGGATTTCCTTCTGCCAAGCAATGTCAGTCCTAGTTTTTCCACAGTAAACATTACTAATGCTATTTTCTCCAGATGTTTTCTCTTAAGGCCTATCTTAGTTAAACAATATGGACATATGAAATAAAACTTGAGCAATATATCATTGGGATACCAACGACTCTGAAAACCAAAATACCCCAGATAGTCCCCAACACTGCTTCATACAATACATTCTGATCTGCAAGCCCTCTGGTATGAAGTGTAGACCAAGACAATATATATGACAACACCACTATCAGACATTTCTAAAAGTAATTTTCCACTAAAGAAAATATCCTCATAGTTTTCCAAACCCTGTATTAAAGTCAACACTACAGCACACTCTATTGTATCAGAGGGAAAGTAATAAAGATATTATGTGATTTGAGACACTGAATAATGAGACAACTAAATAAATATATGGTAGAAAAATATTAAAATATATTGCTCAGTAGGACTAACATTCTATTTGGAATATCAGCCCCTGTAACTATTTTAAACGAAGGTGTTAACTGTAAACAAATTCTACAGTTTGCATTATGCCAGATGCAGAACCTTGTATATGAAAACAACTGAGTCTGCAAGCACTATCAGGTCCAGGCTTGCATCCAGCCAGAACTCACAAGTTTGCAGAATTCTTTGGACATGTCCTCTGACTAGTATGTTTTCAGCATCACTTGCATAATAGAAATTTACTTTAAAAACAATTGTGTCCAGATGTTAATGTTCAGGGATTAACAAGTGGCTAGAACTCTATAGTGTTACGTATAAGCACCAAATTGCCTTATCCTGTCTCCTGTTACTTCTTTCAGTGTTGATGCCCTCTGAAGAAGAAGAAACGGTCTTCTTACTCTCTAGCTTTGGTGCCTTCACAGTTAGAAAGTATAAATTTAATCCTGGATTTAGAATGTGTTCCAAAGACAGTGTTGTAGGCAAAATCATATACTTTGATGAAAAGCATAAATAAAATGGAAGACAATTGCATACATTACCTGTTATACTCAAAAACTTCTGGGCTTGCAATATGGGTCAGTCAGTGTGAACTGTAAGGCCAGGCTTTGAGATTTGACGTGGACACAGTTTTATGTCAGCAAATTCCATTTCAGCACTAGGGTCAAATATGCCGCTTAAAGACTACAGTTCAAAGAGAGCTAGCAAGAATGAATATGAAAACAACAAAAGAGCCAAATCTTTATTTCTGTATTCCCTACTTTATTTCTGGAAACTTGGAATTTATTCAGAGAACCCTAAGGTCTTCAGAGACAGAAATGAAGAACCTAATTAGATATGAAGTAAAACAGCTAACTAGAACTACAAGGAGCACAGGAGTTTAGCAATTTCTATTTTTTAAAATAGCATTTAGCACCCTCCAGATATTTTTGTCCTTTTACACTAAGATTGCTTTGGCCAACAAATGTTTAGGTAAACATAATTGTATAGAGCCCAGGAAAATAGAAATCTAAATCAAGTTAGAGTATTTTTCCAGCATCCTTAGTACTATTGTCTGATAAAGAGAAACTTCACTCTGCCCTTTTGTAAAATGGTTAGAAATGAAAATATTATGTGTGTTCAGTCAAGAAAATGACAATTTATGTCATTTGTAACCTTAGGCTATTTACGATGAAGAGAAGATATTAGAAATGTCAACTTTCTCTGTTTTCTAATCACAATGAATTATGGAAAGGATAATCACAGTTCAAAGCCAGAATACTGCAGGTACCTGCTTTGATCATACTGTCAGGACCTACACGTGTCTTGACAAAGGTTCTCTTAAAGAACTTGTAGTAATTAGTTAGGGGAACACTTTTGACATATGAATTACAATATGTACAAATCTCATACTAACACACACAAAAGCACTTCAAATAAAAACAAGTGGCTACTTCAGCCACACAGAAGCTGTACCAAGCTGTTCTCATATAATATAGGTCATCTACTTTGTAAGTAGAGAAAAAGGCAGACAGAATTTACATCTGTTTGTTTACAACAGCATATTTCAGTTTATTAGTTTAGCGATATGAATGAACTATTCAGTGCCATGTTCAATTTTCTTTTTCGATAGGAAAACACAAAAGTGCATCCAGTCTCAACATTTTAAAGAGAAACGTCTGAAAATGCCCTTAAACTGTATTTTGTCCTAACAGTACAGTTGTAGCAAGAGTCTGAAACTTGGCTCTGTTTTCCTAAGGGGACAACAACAAGAACAATGAAAGTTCTCTACAGACATATGATGCAAATTATGCAAAATTCCAACCCAGGAGCCATACTAAAAAGTATTGACTGGCACTGTGCCCACCAGGGACCACATGCCAACTGAAGCACGATGCAGTCCAGCTATTCAGCTTCCTATGACAAGCAACCAAGTGCCAAGAATTTGGAGTAATGGCAAAATCAAGCTTTATGCCTTTCTTTTCTTGTATCAGCAGTAATTCCAAATAACCTTAATGCAAGAGAGGAGACAGAAGGTCTTGTGACTGCACCTCTTTATATGAATAAAAATCAAATTTAATTAGTAATTATATCATACATGTCATGAGCTGAGATCAATATTAGATGCATTTTGTTTCACAAAGCAAGCAAAAAGCCTTTCTTTTGTATTTCAAACTACATTTTGAAATGCATATTACCAAAAAACGTGAAAAAACTATTTTATCATGGAAATGTCAAGAACACATTAGGCATTGCCAAACCTCTAGCAATATGCCAATAAAATCTCTAATCTTCACACATGATTTGAGCCAGTATTTCAAAACTATCCACAACAGTAAATTCCTCTTGTTTTGAATTTGCAGAAATTCAAAACAGACCAGAAACCCTGTGACATGGTCCTGGTGAGTCACCTAGAAATACCTAGAAGTTAAACAGCTTTCCTACCCAGCTGTTTTGAAAGGATGCATTTACAATGAACCCAACCCCAGCACAATTTCAAAGACCTATACTACAAGCTAGCAGTCATCTACCTCTTAGCAAACACCAAGAAATTGTGGCAACAATGCAGGACTTACTTACTGAATTAAAACTAGGTGCATAGTCAAAAAGGTAGTAATACACTTTTACTCAGGACTCTTTGCTGAGTGTAATAATTTAAATACAGTTGACATTGAATGAGAAGAGAACCTGTCTGGGGAGGAAATACACACATAAAATTACACTGTGAATTATGAAAAGTTCTAATTACAGTTGATTGACTTTTCATTTTGTATTCAGCTGACTGGTTCATACAAAACCAGTAATGAAAGAGTCATCATGCTGCATTTGGGAGCTTAAGTAAAATAATGTGTAGTTGCTCCATAGTTCCTTAGTGGTCGGATATGTACACACTACATAAAGCTGTGCTACAGCTGTACCGTTCCCATCTTTGATGGTACGTGACAATTCAGAGTCAAGCACTACAAAAACATCCAGAAACAAGCTTTTAACAATTACTTTGAACACAAAGATTTGGTTGTTCAGGGATTTTTCAGGCAAAATAAAGAACATACATATCAAGAATCATATATAACTGCTACATAAAAACGAAGGATATGAAAGCGTAATAAACCTGTTTTACAATAAGCTGAATCCTAGAAACATGCATAAAAAGACCCCTTTGCATACAGTATGAGTAGCTCCTATAGCTTAGGAGGAAAATAAGGAAAAACATTACTTACGCATTTGTCATCTGATCCACTGGCTATAAACCGTCCACAAGGAGACACTGCAATTCCACATGGATAGCAGCGGCTACTGTGCCCTTCAAAACGACGTTCACACCTTCAGAGAAATTTCAGTCTCATTAACACTAACTGAAAACTCGCTCTTTACTGCCATTTTCAAGAAATGCTGCTGAAGTCTCATCCATTTTTCTTAGTCTACAAACTTACTGAGGCAAATTCGCAACTTAAGTTTTAAACATCTCTACAGTAGGATTCTGACAAAACTGAAAGTCATTAAAGAATATTAATGACTAAAACCAAAATGAACACACAAAACTACCCCAGGAAAATGCCCATAACCATGCTTGGGTGTTGTTTAGTTTACAAAGATAGAAAAATCATTCCCATTTAGAAATGGGAAGCTGCAATGCCTACCATTAAGTTACCACTAGTTAGCCATCACAGCGGGCAAAGCCAAACTCCCCTGTATTAAGAGGACGGTGCTGTGAAAGCCAGTCTGCTCTCTGACACTATAGAAATCTCCCTTGAGTAATTTATAATATCAAATGAAAATCCAGTATGTGGAATCATAACATAAATAATTATTGCTTGCTTTTCTTATACCCAAATCTGGATATTAAATCTGTGTTACTCTATTTACATTCCTATTCCATGCTCTAATTTATTTGATCTTGTAAATTCAAGAAAGGCACTATACAAATGACAATCAAACTGATAAATCTAGCTATCTACCCTACAGCTGTAGATAACTTCTTACCTACCTGTGTTAATATAGTCTAAAGGAATGAATGCATTTAAATTTAATGAAAGGAATTAATTTCCTACTTTTCATGTTAATATTGCAAGGTAGTATTGTGGAGTAACTTCTTGATAGCTGAGCACACTTGAAACATTTAAAACTAATGTTTTTAATAAAATGAAGATTAATATCCATCTAAAAAAATCCATGGTTGTAAAGATAGCTTTGTAGTCACTACAAAACTAAGGAAAAAAGCAGTATTTAGAGTTACTTCTATGTTAAAAGACACTTTAATACAAGTTTCAACCACATTCAAAATTATCATTTACATATGAATATCTCCTTTCAGAGCTTTATTTTTGTAGCCATGAGGTATCATTTCAAAACAGACATAATAATCTGTATTCTTCTTTTGCCTTTATTATGAATGTCATCAATGTGCCCTTCTCCTTACAAAACAAACTGATATACTTCACCATAATGCAGCTGTCACACATTCATTTTTTTTATGTATGCTAGGTCCAGGAACGAATCTGAGAGAGTAATATCTCCTGCCAACACCTGTGATACACACATTTTCCTGGCCAGTGAAATCACAGATGCTGTGTTAATTCAATTGACTGAATCCATATGCAGGAATCTCTAAATTTTTATACCACGTTGTTCTGTTTTAGACACACATGTATATGTAAGAATGCACTGAATGCTAAGTTGATTTTGCTCACCCAGGTGAAACAGGCACACTTCAACAAAAACATTATGAAAAATCCAATGGGTATCATGTAGTAAAGCATAAAAAAGGACACATCATTTTACAGAGTCTAATTCTGAACTTTCACTGCTAGTACACATTTGGCTTAATTTCTGTAACTAAACTACTAATATCAATCGACAATTTGAGTATAAAGTATACTTTCATCTCAGACTAGTTCTACACTAAAACTGTGGAAGAGAACACTACAGTTCAGAGAAGTAACTTATAAAGACAGTCAATTACTGTGACTAAAATGTAAAAACAATTCTTTAACTTCAGTTCGCACATAGGCTCTTGCATGAATATTCAGGGACTTAGAATAACCAATGGCTGCATTTGGCCATGGAATAACCTACTTTCATTCAAGCTTCCTACTGACACTAAAGTAGGATATTAGCTACCTCGGTCTCCTCTCAAATGCAGCATTCTAACATATACAGCTCCAAAGTTTAGGCAATGTATGACAAGCCAGGGAATACGTATGTGATTTATACTTTCAAAGAACCACACTTTTTGGAAGATAATTTAAGAGAAAACATAAAGGGTAGCACATGCTTCCCATATCACAGCTATCAAAGAATCATGTAATGATTGAGGTTGGAAGGCACCTCCGGAGGTCATCTCATCCAACCTCCCTCCCAACCTAGACTGCTACTGAGGACTGGGTCTGGACAGGTTTTTAATAACTCCAAGGTGCAAAACTCACCAACTATACTGGGCTACCTGTGCCAGTGCTCAGTTTTTCAGGAAATGTTTTTCAAAATTAGTTGTTCCATCACCTTCCCAGGCACCAAGGTGAAACTGACCAGTCCATAGTTGCCCAGGATCTTCTTCTTGGCCTTTCTGAAGATAGGAGTGACATCTACTTTCTTTCAGTCTGCAGATACCTCTGATCACCATGATCTTTCGAAGATAATTGAGAATGGACTCACAATGACAGCAGCCATCAATGAGCTGAAGGCAGGTTTTGAAGAAGGCTGAGGTAGGCTCTTTTCAGTGGCACCCAGTGACAGGACAAGAAGCAATGGACAAAAATTGAAATACAGGAGGTCCAGTCGTAGCATCAGGAAACACTTTCTTACTGTGAGGGTGACTGAGCACTGGCACAGGTAACTCAGAGATTGTAGAATCTCTGTTCTTAGAGATATTCAAGGGCTATCTGGGTATGGTGGCAGACGAACAGCTGCAGGGAGCCCTGCTTGATGAGGGAAGTTAGACAAGATGACCTCCAAAGGTGCCTTCCAACCCCCATCATTATGTAATTTTGTGATTAAGCAGCAAAGGTGTTATTGTAACTTTGGGCAAGTCTTTCTTTCAAATAACTTAAGCAGAAATAAAAATGAAACATGATGTGTATCATCTGTCAGCTGTTCCCCTTTGTGGTCTGATGTGGCATTACAAGATTTTGCCCTCAGGCTCCCACCAAATATTCATTGTATAAAGTAGATCTCTCCCACATCTTAGTCTCAAACATGGGTTTTTTTATTGTCTTTGCCAGAGTCCCAGTTGCACTACTTGTAAATTTCAGAGTAGCCCCCAAATTAAAGCCCTTTTCAGTGTCTTTTCTCACTGTCACATGTGGACAAATTCCATAGAAATGTTTGAAGGAAAAGTTTCTTTTTAATCTTACGCTTGTAACATTCAACGGCATCCCATGAAAGAAATTTCCTCATAAGAAAAATAAACAAAATTCATATATCCTCTGTCCCTCCTGAATATGCCTTCAGGATCACTGTTACATAGAGCACTGGCCAACAAGACTAGTTCTCAGTGTTTAAGACCTTGTTCTCAAGGCCTGTAAAAACTAACTTTCTCAATGAGGTGTTTCTTCTTCACAGAATAGTCGCCTAATAAATCACTGCAAACAACTTCCTTTCATAGGAGTTTGACTCCTCCGCATTTCTGACCAATAACTCAATTACTCCACCTAGAAAGAGACGTGTAAGAACTAACAGGATTCCAGTGCTTTCACTGGTCTTTTCACTGCTATACCACAGCAATATTAAAAACAATGTCTGAGTGACAAGACAGTGACACTCTTCCTGAGCTAGTATGGTCGTAGTAATAACTAACATCCTGGGTTCTATTTTCTTAATTGTTTTCCTGTTCAACTTTTCCATTATAATCAGGATGTGTGCATTTCAAGTATAGCTACAGCCCCACCCCATCAAAACCCTGCTTTAAAAAGACATTTAAAAAATTGATTCCAATTAAACTTTCCACAGAATCCAGCAGAAACTTTGTTATGCAATTAACTCCAGATACCTCCAGGATATCTGGAGCAATGGAAAAAAAGTGGATAAAATAGCTTAGAATAAATAGATATTATGTATATAATTTTAGCTTATTCTAGGAGTTCTCTTATTTCAAGCTTTTTTTTTTTCCCCCTGTTATTTTTTAAGTAGCAACAGGTGGTGATTGAACTTATTTTGGATTTTGCAAGCTTTACGTAGCCAACTGGCATGCTGTCCAGCCTCCTAAGAATGCTTCTCTGGTCAGAGCTTTTCAGGGGTTACCATGACAAACATCTGGTAATTGCATGGGACAACAAACAGCCAAGTTTTCCCTATGTTCTCCATTGTACAGCTTCTAGTCCACATTCCAAAATATGTATCTTTTTATGTTGCAAACAAGTTGCAGAATATTAGGGAAAAAAAAAAGTAACATGTTTTTTGTCTCTGTAAGAAAAGGATACTGGAATGGTGTACATCTTTACAAAATACTCTCACAGATAAGTCTGTTTCATTCTACTTGCTGCATTAAAAAAAATAACTTGACAGCAAACCAAAGTTTTCTCTTTTTTTCAACCAGCTTTCCTTGTATTCTACTGCTTTGTCCTAGTGTTCTGGTAGTTGTTCAGAGACCCTTCAGTACTAGCAGTTCCACTGAGGCTTTACAAAATCCAAGTATAACTTGACAGCTGTAGAAGCTCTGTGAAACACACATGTTTAATTTTAAACATACAGCAACCTTTCACATAGGAGATCAGCATGTTTTCACCAATGGCATCCATCAGGGACCGTGTGTTCCCCATCCTATATACTTTCATGCATCCCCAGTCCCAAAGTTGGAGGAACTCCAGCCACTGCTTTATTCCTTTTTCTGTCAGAATCCAGACAACAAGACTCAAAGCTCAAGGTAAAAAAGAGATGACAAATCATGGGATCCTCACGTTCAGAAAAAACCAAAAAGTAATTAAATTATGAGTATGTATATATGCAAATCTTGATAAGTATGATGTCAAGCACTCAGTTCACAGTGGAGATACAAACTGAAAAGTATCCGAAAATTTAAGGGCCATTCACTCAAACTGCATGTCTGACCCTAAGGCCCTCAAAGGGTAATTCTTAGAAAATGTATGAGATATGCTCCATGTGGCTGCAGGAATTCTACTAAAATATGTTGCCAGGGAAGTTTATAATCCAGTTGCACAGGATGATAATACAAGTTGGAGATTTTACCTTAATGTCTAAAACTATCTTTATATGATTGGCAATCCTGAGTCTGAGAAAGGGTGAAATTGATTTTCCCTGGGATCATGTATCAAAGCACTATCATGCATCACCTCCCTTCTCCCAGGGTATGCTGGTGCCTGAGGATTTCT